ACAGCCTCAACTCGGCGCTTGGCTTTGCGCTTTGCCGTGGCACGATCACAGAGGCCACGCTTTACATGGGACAGCGCATCACTTTGCTGTCGAAATGGTGTTTTGCACTCAAGACACAGCCACCCAAACGATGATCTGAGACCACCTCTGGCTGCAAAGACCTTCGAAGGAGTGGCCCTTGGCCAACAAAAGAGCCGAAAGTGTTCCAATGGCGTTCCCCTGGCAGCACCGATGCGTTTGATACTCTCACGGCCACGGCGTGTGACAGCAGCTTTGTCGATGGTGCTCTTGCGGTCGAGTGCCTTGAATCTGGCCCACGGTACCCTCGGATGGGCGGCGCATCTGTGGGCAAGCTCATCAGCAGTCACAGCATCGGCACTCTTAGAGAAGGCATCCCTAGCAGCAATGCCGAAATCACAAAGCGGGCACCTCCAATGGCAGTTGTCGCCGGCCTTCGCCTGGATGATGGATGGCTGGCGCTTCCCGTGCGGGACCCCTGACGGGATCTGCCCTGGATGGTGGGTCTAGCATACAGCTTGGCCTGACGGGTAGCCACACACTTGGCAACGGCCCGGAACGGACACAAGGAGCAAATGGCAACGGGACTGCGATCAAGCTGAAGCCCTGCCCTCCCCCAGTAATGCACTTGGCGCTCTGTGGGTGGCTTGCGCGCAACACTGGCAGGCACTGCATCTAGGTCGTCAATGCACTGCGGCTCGGGAGGCCCAGCGACAACACTGCCAGGAACACTTGAGCTGGCGGACCACACGGTGGGAGGCTTAGACAAAGCCTGGGCGGGTGCCTGTGACGACTGTGAACTCCACTCAGTCCGGGCCTTTGTGCACTTGCGAGCTTTCCACGAAGGGGCTGGTGCGAAAGACCAAACCGTGGCCGGCTTGGAGCAGACAGATGCAACGGATTTGCCCCCGGCTCGAAAGCCTAGTGACGCTGCCGAGCGTACCGCAAGCAGCTCTGCGGGGTAAGCAGTACCCGTCTCAGGCACCAACAGGTCAACATGTTTGTCCTCCAGCACAAGGCAGCTGTATGCTTGGCTTGTGATGTAGTGAAGGCTTCGGGTTCCAGGGATGAGTCGGCTGGTATCACAACAATGTTGATCCCCCAGCTCCTCGACAGTGCCCGCATTTCTAAGTCCGACGCATAGGCCGATTCGCCCCCAAGGAGCTTCACTTATCCCAAAGTCCGGCCTTGCTTAAGCGCAGCGGCAAATGCGTGGAACACACACGAGCATGGACATCAAACTACAAAGTGGTCTCACCCTCCGTGGCAGCTAAGGGAACAGGTCACGGTCCGGCTCCTTGGTCCGCGGGGCCACGTGTCCAAGCCGCCCCCCTGTGCGCCAATCCGGACTCCCGCTGTGCGGCGGCACGTGTCGCAAGTCGCCGGGACTCTCGCCTTTGTTTTGCTCACACAGGTGATTTTAGTCAAAATCTTGGGACTGCCCCTGCCGACCTGGCCTGCTCAAAGAAAAAGCCGTCAGCCCCGAAATGGCAAGGACGGAGGACACATCTGGTTCGTTGACTCTCAACACCCATACAACTGGCTGCTTTTGCCACTTTTTCTTCCAACATGCCCACGTGTCAAGGCGTTAAGATGATTGCGCTCAGCCACTTCATCATGTGTTGCGCCGGCTGTTTGAGCGCATAGCCCACGTGTCCTCAACCGTAAAAGGTCGGGGGAGGCGAACATGCAGAACCGCGGAAGGTCGCTTGGCACCTTCTGTGTGGCCCCCGAGCCCTTGAGGCCTGGGATAGGGTGGGCCGTGTCGGAGCGAATGACCAGAACTGGCCTTGCAAATTGAACTGATCCTCGACAAGTCCTGGCACACGATCAGGGCCACCGGGTTCAAGACACAACTTCAAAGAGTACTGCTTGGACAGCCTTTTGCCATAGCTTCAAAGAGTGTTGCCGCCCTTGGTACACAGCACAATGCCTTTAAGAACCTCGTTGGCAGGAAGTTTTTCGAGCATCGGCAACTCGCGTGACCGTAGTCCACACCACAGGTCCGAGGCTGCGACGCACACACACCTTTGCCGGCACCACACAGGCCACACACACACACACACACACCTACAGACGCACCTCACGCACGCCCCCGCCACAGCCCCTCCGGGGTAGGGCTGCACGTCCACCGCTGTTGCCCTGCACCCGGCACCACACACACTTTGCCGCCGCTTTTTTAAGCCGGGCTTTCGCTGCGTTTGTGGCTTTGTTGACGCTGGAGTCACGCGGGCCCAGACCGGAACAGCAGCAACCCGCCCGCCCGCCCGCTGAGGTGCAAAGCGCGCAACGCATTCTTGGATTGCTTTTTGCACTGCGAACACAATGAACACACAAGTCCTGCCACAGACACACACCGGGGCCGGGATTGGAGGCTTCCCCAATCCGGGCGGCATTTAAGTAGTTAAAGTTACGACTAAGAGCGCTGAGGCATGCAAAGCAGTCCGAGATGCACTCCCGACACAGCCACCTTGAAAGCCAACCGTCACTTGCAAAAGGCATGCCCTGTGGAAGTGAAGTCCGGGGTTCCACCTGCTCGGTCTGACCTGAGGAGTCATCGGCAGGCCTTATGCACTGGGTTTCCTCATAGAGGTGTTCACCTATCAGGCCGGGGCAGACAGCAACGCACTCGGTGGCCCCACCTGTGGCAAGAAAGGCGCTCCTGCAGGTTGCGGCCCCAGCCCGGGATTTCTCTGAGCCTTTCGGCCAACTCATACCGCCAGCGAAGCCTGAAGCCTGAGTGTGCAGCCTGAGTCCTGAATCGTCAAGAAAACGCGGGTACTCGACCTCACCATTGGCAACCTCAGGGGATTTACTCGGGCCTTTCGGCCAACCTGCACCGCCGTCGTTGCAAAGGGAACGGTCGAGCGGTCCACAACCGAAAACAAAGCACTGATCGGGAGTACTGTGGGCAAATTTAGCGCTCCTACTGGCACCTGCCTCTGCTGGGGATATGCTAGCACCTTTCGGTACCTTGGACCCCTGAGCATAACAGGCAGCCTGAGTATGCAGCTCGGTGTCGGAAGCACACGATGAAAGAGATTTCGGCCCAGCAGGAATGCACTGTCGGCCGCACACAAACTGGGAGCCCTGCTGCTGAAAGTGGCCTGGATGGTCCGGGCCAGTTGGCTGCCCAGGACCTTCACCAGGCAAGTAGGCACGTGTCGCATGCCAGGGCATCGGTACATGAGTAGCTTTTGCTGCGAAGTTGGCGCTCCTACCGGCTCCTGCTGTTGTTGGGGATATTCCCGCACCTTTCGGCACACTCGACCCATCAATACAACAAGTAGCCCTAGTCAGCAGCCCGTTGCTGAAGTCGTTAATGGTGTCAAAACTGGACCCTTTGCAAGAAGTCGAAACAGTCTGGCATTCGAAAACACACCCACTCTCAAAGTTGCAATGTGTTGGCGCATCCTGCGGCTGTCCTGCCTCGGCACATCCTGAGCACAGAGCTTGCATACACACGGGTAACCCAAAAGGGAAAGGAGGACTAAACCCTAGCCTAGGGGGCAAGGAGGAAACAGGCGCTTGGCAGTCGTCGTCGCAGTCGCAGTCGTCTGGCTGCCCAGCACCTTCACCAGTCAGGTAGGCACGTGTATCATGCCGGGGCATCGGGACAGCAGCAGCACTTTCAGCGAAGTTGGCGCTCCTACGGCCTCCTGTTGTTTTTGGGGATATTCCCGCACCTTTCGGCACACTCGACCCATCAAGACAACAAGCAGCCAGAGTTTGCAGCCCGTTGCTGAAGTCGTTCGTGGGAGCAAAGCTGGACCCTTGGCAAGCAGATGAAACAATCTGGCACTCGAAAGCACACCCTCTCTCGACGTTGCAATGTTTCGGCACATCCGGCGATTGTCCTGTTGCAGCACATCCAGGGCACAGAGCTCGCATGCACACGGGTAACCCGAAGGGGAAAGGAGGACTAAACCCTAGCCAAGGGGGCGAGGAGAAGGCAGGCGTTGGGCAGTCGTTGTCGCAGTCGCAGTCGTCCAGCAAGGTGCTGCCACTGTGTCGTCCGGCCGGTTGGCCCATCAAGCTCGGCATCGGTCCATCCTCAGCAATTCCATGGCGTAGGCTCTGCGAGGCAGGGTGGACCAGGAGAGCCCCGTTAGGGCTACATAGAGGGGCTAGGGAGCTCACGAAGTGAGATCTTTGCCCTTCAGCGGGTCTTCTTTCGAGCTCTAGGGCCGGCCCGTCACAACTGCATCTTGGTCCTTGAGCGGATCTTGTTTCGAACCTCTGGGCAGGCCCGTCTGGGGAGCAAAACCTAAGAAGCTCACTCGGCATGATCTCGTCAAGGTCGAAATCACAACAATCGTCGGCCCTGGCAGCAAGCTCGTGGCAAACACTGTTTCCGTCACGGTTACCTGCAGCACTCTCACTAGCACTGATTGCGGCGCCACCACCACCACGCACGTCGGGCGTCGGCAGCCTCACACCTCTTAGATTCGGTTAGGTTATTTCCTGACTATTATGCATATCCCAAAAAATAGACTAATAGTCAGAATAGAATAACCTATATCTCAGGAGATAGGTTATTTAAATAACCTAAGAGAAAAGGTTATTTGAAAGAATAGACTATGAGTTCCAAAGGTTATTTGAAAGAATAAACTATGATATTTTGTTTTTTGTTAGCAGGAGCAGGCACCCTAAGTAGCATTTGTTGTGCGGAACTTTTTTTTTTCCAGAACCTAGGTAACATGTGCAGGATTGCTGGCATGTTTTGCAAGACCTAAGTAACATTTGCGACATCTAAGTAGCATGTCCCCTGTCAGGTTTTTATGATTTGTGTGCAGCATGGCAGACTTGAATGTTGTTCCGTTGCGGATTGCAGGCTGAAAACATAGCAAGAAGCACAGGTATGGCATGGTGCCAGAGGAAAATCTTGCGAGCAGACAATAGGAAAACTGTGTGGGCACATGTGGGCTTGAAACTCATGCGACTCATGTCTATGTAGAGATTTTCTAGAGCCCTGCTGCAGCATGGCGCAGTCAAAGTATGAAACCACCCGAGTGAAAGTGGATCCGACGATAGGCGTCATTGATCTGCAAAAGGTTTTGAAGAAGCATGTGGACAATGCCCAAGACAAGGATATTTGGAATATTCTGAAGCATCCCACCGGTGCTCCCTTCTCTTGGAAGACGGCGGTATGTATTCCGTGGATCGCTCAGGCAGCCTATCTCCTCGTAGATTTCCTCCAGGTAGCCCCGAACTGCGTTCTGCCTGCGGCGAAGCTTCGCACGAGTTTGAAGCGGTTGGTGGTTGATGGTACGGAGAAAACCAAGAAAGTGAACCGCACGAACTATGCTACAGATGATTTCGTGGACCAGATCGACAGCAGAATTCGCATCCTGCTAAGCCAAGTCCGGTGTTTGAAGAAGCAGGACGAGTACCTGAGAGCAGTACGGACAGCCACGGAGTCGGAAAAGGCAAGGATCGACATGGTGTTGTCTCATGTGTTCTCCGAGAAGGAGAACACGGTTGGGGCAAGCTCCAGCGGCCAAACGACTGGTCTGGAGATAGTTCCTTATAGACCTCCAGAGATGCGGAGCGAGGGCATTTTTGGAAGAATCTTGGCGAAGCAGGATAGCAGCCCACGGCCCTTGAAGAAAGCTAGCCTGGTGATGGGGCCTGGAAGTCCCGTCAAGATTTGGAGGGGAGCCGCGAAGATCTGCAGTCCGAAAGCTTCTGCGGGGGCGGCTGAGCACCCCACGGTGTTCGGGAGGCCTTTGATGGTTGGAGATTTGGGAAGCAGCTCCAGCGAGGAAGGTGCTTCACAAGCTGCTGCCTCCAGCTCTAGCAGGCCGGTCAAGAAGGTGGCCCCAAAGGCAGAGGCTCTGGTGAAGCCTTTGGTGTCAGAAGCTGCCTCGTATGGCTTGGATGCTGGAGATCTGGACATCATGAAGCAGGCGAACCTCCACAGAGTGGTGAACAACAAGAAGTCTTTCAAGAAGCCGGCAGCGGCCGTGGGCAACAGTAAGAAGAAGCACGAGAGTGCTTCGAAGGCCGCGAGTGCTTCGAAGCCCGCCGATGTTTCGAAGCCCGCCAGTGCTTCGAAGCCCGCGAAGGGCGCTTACAAGTGCAGTTTCAAGAAACGAAAGACCTCCGCTGTCTACCATAAGGAGCACACACTGAGGCTCAGGTTGGGCGACTCCCCGCAGACTGCGAAGAAGAAGGCCAGAGCTGCCATGGCAGAGGTTGCATCCAAGATAGATGCCGGTATCATCACTGAGCATGGCTCCTAGATCTCAGCACAGTTTTCGCGGCACGAAGGCTGACGAGGTTCCAGCGAAAGCAAAATAAGGTCGGCATTGTTGCAGCTCTCGACTGTCTAAGTAGCATTGTTTGGCAGCGCTTTTTTTGGAAGGCTAAGTCACATCTGCATGTCTGCATGGCATCCAGGAAGAGTGGCGGCCTGCTAGGAAGCTTTGCTCAGCCGTGCCTTTTGTTCCTCTAGTACGGAGGCTCTATGCATGGTTAAATAGCACGAGTGTTGCAGTGAAGGTTTTTGCCATCGACCACAGATATTTTTTCTCAAGTCACAAGCATTGTTCCAGTTTGCCTGCAAACCGGTGAGCGAGAGCCATCTATGGCATTGTGTGCAAGCCTTTGCTGCGGCCAGTGCAACGAGGTATTCGTCGGATCGCATTCCAAGCGATGCAACAGGTCGCATCCAGAGATTATGGCCACTATCCGAGTTTGTGCCCGGCCAGGTTGCGAGCTCTTGTCAAAGGGCACAAGGAGATGGTGGGAGGCATGAAGCTGTGGCGGCCCAAGCTGCTTCTTGGCTTGGCTTGGTGGCAGGCTGTTCCAGTGCTGATTCCAAACGGCTGGCAGTAAGTTGCAGAATCACTGATTCTGCAACTTACTGCCAGCCGGTTGTGCTGCTCCTGGATCCAAACGGCTGGCAGTAAGTTGCAGAATCACTGATTCTGCAACTTACTGCCAGCCGGTTGTGCTGCTCCTGGATCCAAACGGCTGGCAGTAAGTTGCAGAATCACTGATTCTGCAACTTACTGCCGGCCGGTTGTGCTGCTCCTGGATCCAAACGGCTGGCAGTAAGTTGCAGAATCACTGATTCTGCAACTTACTGCCAGCCGGTTGTGCTGCTCCTGGAGCCTGAGGCTGGTTCTGCATGCGGCTGCGAAGAATGGAGAAAGGCGAAAGGACCAAGCTGGCAGCAGATACAAGGGAGCCGATTCCGTTCTTGGATCAGATGGACTAGGGCTTTCTATATTGACCACATAGCCAGGCCGCGACCTCGCACGAGAAAAAAAGCCAGTCCAAGAAGACCCCAAACCCCAGAAGTGATTGATGTTTTCTACTCCAAAAAAAAAACTTCCGCCAAACTTAGGACAAACAAACTAGGGCCTGAGACGTTAAATACCGATAGAATGTGTTTTGGTTTTCACCAGCGACCCCAAACCCCAGAAGTGACTGATGTTTTCTACTGAAAAGAAACCTTGGCAAAGCATGGGGAAAGAACAAGGGCCTGAGACGTTATAGGTACCGGTAGAATGTGTGTGGTTTTTTCAAAAGCACCGGAAACAAGGTAACATGTTTTTCACCGTGAAACGAGAGACTATGTAACATGCCTTTTCCCCCTCTAGGTAACATTGGCAATCCCGCAGTCCTTGACCCCCTCTAAGTAACATTGGTCAACTAGGCAACATGTTGTCGCCATCAAACCAAGAGCCAAAGCAAGACTAGGTAACATGCCTCTTCCCCCTCTAGGTAACATTTTGGCAATGTCGCAGTCCTTCACCCCCTCTAAGTAACATTGGCCGACTACATGTCTTGCCCCTGTAAGTAACATTGCTCGCCTTGCAACTAGGTAACATGCCAGTCTGGACATGCAGCATGCAGCAGAGAGTGCGGGAGTGAAATTGTGCTCCCCGGCAGACCGGCTCCACAGAGTAGCTCTTGAGAGCAGACACTCTGTGAGCAGCCACACAGCACGACGGCACAGCTTAGAGGCACAGCCACAACACACACACGTGCACACACACAGCACAGAGCACACAGCACACAGCAAGCACAGCAGAGAGCAAACACAGCACAGACAGCACAGACAAGACAACAGAAGAAACAGAGCCAGCCATGACCACTACTGGTCTGTGGCTGGGCGGGCTGCCATGGTGGACGACAACCGCTGGCCTGTTGGAATGGCTGGACAAGGCTGGGGCTCCACGTCCGCAAAACATACAATGGCTGCCGACAAAAGCTGAAGCTACCCTGTCTGCCGCTGTACTACACTACGACACCACGGCAGCGAGGGACACAGCTTTGGAGCTGGTGCCCCTTAGCTACAAGGGACACAGAGTGTCGCGAAAACAGCAGCGGCAACAGCCCAAAGCAAAAGCAGCAGCAGCAGCACAGCAGCCGGCAGCAGCAGCAGCACACCAGCCGCAGCAGCAGCGGCAGCCTGCAGCTGCAGAGCAGCCGCAGCAGCAGCAGGTGCCGGCAGCAGCTGCAGCACACCAGCCACAGCAGCAGCGGCAGCCTGCAGCTGCAGAGCAGCCGCAGCAGCAGCGGCAGCACAGCAGCCGGCAGCAGCTGCAGCACACCAGCCGCAGCAGCAGCGGTAGTCTGCAGCTGCAGAGCAGCCGCAGCAGCAGCAGGTGCCGGAGGAGCCGCAGCAGCAGCAGCAACCGCCGGCAGCAGCAGCAGAGCAGCGGCGGCAGCAGCAGGAACCGGGCTTTGATGATGGGTCCACTCCGAAGATGCCGCAGGCAGAATGGGGTCTGGAGTGCCTTTGCCTGGTACAATGCGGCCTGGAGTGCCTTTGCCTGGTACAATGCGGCCTGGAGTGCCTTTGCCTGGTGCAATGGGCCCTGGAGCGGCCAACCTTGGAATGCCTTTCTTGCCTGGTACAATGGGCCCTGGAGCGGCCGGGCTTGGAGTGCCTCTAATGCCTGGTACAATGGGCCCTGGAGCGGCCGGGTTTGGAGTGCCTTTGGTGCCTGGTACAATGGGCCCTGGAGCGGCCGGGCTTGGAGTGCCCTTTCCTGGTTTTCCGCCAATGCCAGCAGCACCTGCTTTTCCGCCAGTGCCAGCACCTGCATTTCCGCCAGCAGCACCTGTTTTTCCGCCTTTGGTGCCGCCGCCTATCCAGTTGCCTCCTGGGTTTGTCTGGCGGGCAGTGGCAACTGGAGATGGAAGCCGCTGTGCTCAAAGCAGGTTTTCTTTCCGTCTATAAGCATGGGCACAGATGTTTCTTTTGGGTTATTAAAATACACCTACCAATAATAAAATCAGAGACCTCAGGAGCAGAGGCTCCAGCGAAGGCGCCGGCTCCGGCGAGGGCGGACGTGGACGAGAACAGGACGGATGCTGGTGACACCACGGAGCCGGAGGATGGCAGCGAGACAAAGACCATCATCCCTACGAGTCCTGTCAAGAAGAAACCATCTTTTGTTTTGCTGTTTCTGTCTTAAAGTTGGTTTTAGGATTAGGGTTGTGTACACTTCCTTGCAATAGTTCATGGACTGCTTCCGAGGGACCACTCGCCGGTGTCGCCAGCAGATCTGGATGGTGCAGGGGCGGGACCGAGCAGCCCGAGGTGGGCTTCACACATCAGGTCTTTTTGCTTCCAGGGATCTATAAGTATAAGTAACCGGTTCCGCTGCTTCGTCGATGACCTGCTAAGTCACATTGCCATCGCTCGCAACATAGCTCCGAGGACCTGTGCTAAGTAACATTCTAGGTCACACGTCTAAGTAACATTGCCGAGTTTCTAAGTAGCATTCTAGGTAGCATTCGTCCCAGGTCCTGCTGCCCCCTCTAAGTAACATTGCTCCGTTTCTAAGTAACATTCTAAGTAGCATTGTCGCTGGGCCCTGCTGCCCCCTCTAAGTAACATTGCCGAGTTTCTAAGTAGCATTCTAGGTAGCATTCGTCCCAGGTCCTGCTGCCCCCTCTAAGTAACATTGCTCCGTTTCTAAGTAACATTCTAAGTAGCATTGTCGCTGGGCCCTGCTGCCCCCTCTAAGTAACATTGCCGAGTTTGTAAGTAACATTCTAAGTAGCATTGTCGCTAGGAGCTGCTGCCCCCTCTAAGTAACATTGCTCAGTTTCTAAGTAACATTCTAAGTAGCATTGTCGCTGGGCCCTGCTGCCACCTCTAAGTAACATTGCTGTGTTTTCGAAATATCGTCCCAGGCCCAGGGTGGTGAAAGAGGAGGAGGAGGATCTGCAAAGGCCTCCGTCTGTGGAGGTGGAGGCCATCAGCAGGCCGGTATTGGGTTGTGGCTGGGAAATCGTGACGAGTCCCACAAATCCAAAAGTGCAAAGAGGTTCTTGGGGAGTTTGCTCATGGCCTCTATAAGACCAAGTACTAACCTTACTGGCAGGCTCACTCGACCTCGCGATCCTCGCCGGCGATCTCCGCCAAGCAGCACTCTCGATTCCAGGCAGCAACACATCCCAGCTTTAGACAGGAAGCCAGCCTGATTCGAGAATAAAGACAGCCCCGGGGTTCTACAATAAAATGCCGCAGCTCAGGAGCCGGTGCCTTCTGAGAAGCGGCGGCGAAGCTTGCCCCAGCCACCGAAGTGAGATCGGTCGGTGCAAACAGGCGGCAGCGAGTTCTTTCAGGGTCGGGTTTTTCTAAAGTTTTGAAACCTGAAAGCCTCCGGCCTAAATCCTTTTGCCCTAAACCCTGAACCCTGAAGCCTCAAGCCTAAACCCAAATCGAGAACACCGAACCCAAGACCCTGAACCCTAAACCCTGACTCCGTCTCTAAGTAACATGGACAGCAATAGCCCCCCCCCAACCCAAGCGGCTACGTAACATGTTTCTTTTGGGACCTGCTAAGTATCGAGGACACAAGGCCCCAGCTAAAGGCAAGAGCCGCTAAGTAACATGGACACCAAGACTTCAGCAGAAGCGGCTACGTAACATGTTTCTGTTGGGCTTCTGGAATATTTCTGTTTGTTTAACTTACGAAGCCATTTTCACAGTCGTATTCGAAAACACATGTGTTGAGGCTCTGCTTGCCTTTAAAGCGAAACCCTGAAACCCATCCCCCAAAACCTAAGCCAGCAACCGCACTCTGCACCCTGGACTACAATCATAAGCACAAAGCAGTAGATGCTAAGTAACATTGTCAGATAGGGTCACGAGCTGCTAAGTAACATTGAAAGACATTGTCGGGTAGGGTCAGGAGCTGCTAAGTAACATTCACATATGCCACCCCACCCCCGCCCCCCCAAAAAAAAAGCGCCGCGAGCTGCTAAGTATCATTGACAGAAGCCCCCTCCCCCCTAGGGCCACGAGCTGCTAAGTAACATTGACACAAACCCCCCACTCCGCCCCCACTTAGGAACAGTGACACCAAGCCCCCCCAACGGTTACGTAACATCCCTCTGTTGCACTAAAACAGAACAAGAAGTGATGTACTCATTCCATCGAGATAGGAGTTTTCTCGTTTTGCAGAAAGCATGAAAACCGCCGGCAGGCACAGACCAAAGCAGGAAAACCCAAGCCCAACAGGAGCCGAACCAGCACAAAAATTAAACAAAATAACACCATTACAGGGAGTCGTCGGGAGTCCTCGGGTACCACCTCCCCTGGGTTTCACGTGAATGAGACGAGTCCAACGGCAGAGTCAAGCCGTTGGACTCACCTGTGCCAGACGAAAACCGACGACAACACATCCCCAAAACACCAAACCGACACAAAAGTGACACAAAACTGACACAAAAGTGACACAAAAGTGACACTAATCTGACACTAAAGTGACACTAAACTGACACTAAACTGACACTAAACTAACAGTTCAAAGGCAAAACTAACACAAAAGTAACACAACCGATATGTACTATTGTTAGTTTGGTAAAACTAACCCATGGAATTGTTACTTTAGTGTTACTTTTGCTGTGGGAGTGTTACTTTAGTGTCACTTTAGTGTCACTTTAGTGTCACTTTAGTGTCACTTTAGTGTCACTTTTGTGTCACTTTTGTGTCACTTTTGTGTCACTTTTGTGTGAGTTTGCTATCCCTGGAGCTTTTTCTGTGCTGTTTTCTTCCTGCTGCCCTTGATTCGTCTGGTTTCCGGCCTGTGATTTCAGGTGTTTCGAAACCGATCCGAGGACTTTCGCCTGGAAAAGAGAACTGTGCATCAGAGTTTTCCAATAATCTGGAATATCGTGCTCAAAACCATAACTAGGTGAAATCTTGCTTCGGCTTTCGAGCTATGGTGCTGAATACAAAACTAGGTAACATGCTCCTGTCAACATAGGCAGCTTGCTGCTGGCCCGACAAGAGGCAACATGGTCTCTAATGTTTCTAAGTAACAGTGCACGAGGAAACTTAGTCTTAAGTAACAGTGTGCAGGCAAACCTAGGTAACATGTTACTTAGAGAGCTGTGTATGTAACATGTACTGCTGTTGTCTAGTTCCACCCGTTGTGGTCGTTGAGAAATCTGCACCCCGATCCGTGCTCGAATTCAAAAAGGCTAGTGGTGATTGGGAGTATGAAGTCCCGGGCACATGTCGTGACATGCTAAAACACCAGATTTTCATGCATGATGAGAAGAAGACTTTCCGAGAAGACTGATCCAGCCATGGCTGTTAAGGGTAGTGGTTCCCTGAAGAGAAAGGGAGCTCAGCTTGACCTCGACGGCGAACCGTTGACGGAAGCAGAGGCCGCCCCAGAACAGGAGCAGGAGGCACAGGAGAAGGAGGAGCAGAAGAGCCCCAAGCCAAAGAGCCCAGCCAAGCCCAAGAGCAAGAGCAAGCCGAGCAAGCCGCAGACCTCCCCCAAAGCAAAGGCGAAGGGAAAGGCCAAAGCAAAAGCAAAAGGCGAGAGCAAGCCCCCAGCAAAAACACCCAAGGCCAAGAGCACAGCCAAAGCTACCCCCCAGCCGAAGGCCAAGAAAACTAAGCCGGGGAAGCAGCTCAAGGAGGGGGACAACAACAACAAGAACGTGACCAGACAGGAAAGCTTCGCTGACAAGGCTTTGCAGTGGAAGCTTGCAGCCGAGGACAAAGCCGAGGCCCAGGAGAAGCCTAAGGAGGAGCCCGAGGCAGAGGAGCAGGACGGCGACGAGGAGGACGACCAGGGCGGCGAAAAGAGGGACCTCGCCAAGGCCAGGAAATTCAAGAGAATGTCCGATGCCGGTGCAATCCCGGAACACATTCAGGAGGTTCTGAGCAAAGCGAAGACCCGTGCTGCCAAGACGGAGCTGATCAACGAGCTGTTCGACAAGAACGACAAAGGCAAGCTGATCATGAAATCGGACAAGCCCGTGTTCGAGACCACGAAGCAGGCCAAGCATCAGAAGTTTGGTCGAGATGAAACCATGGGGGCACCAAAGGATGTGGTTTTGCACCGGGACTACCATGGCGATGAAAAGGCTTTGGATGCTTCCATTGCAAGGGGCACGGTGATGGTGTGGCTGCAGGATGGGGTAGAGTTCGCGGGCTATCGGCAAACCGTTGCCGGGATTGGCAAGACGGTGGAGGACAAGCACCAAGCGAAGAGTGGTGCCAAGGAGATCACCGACGAGACCTTTCAGGCCCTCGACAAGGCCTTCCGAGCCATGACCTTTTCGTTTGATCAAGATGACCAGCCCCGCCAGGCTATCGCAGCAGAGGCAGCAAGCTCGAAGGAGCCCCCCGTCCTCAAGCAGTTCACGGAGTCCCAGCAAGCTTTGCTGGAGGAGGCCAAAGGAGCGATGGAGCGGCTTCATAGTGCTGCTATGAGGATGATTTCAAAATGCTCGCAAGCGAAGGACAAGGAGAGCTTCAAGCCGCACATGCTTGCTATGAAATCATGGATGGACAGGGACGACCACCTGTTGCTATGGAAAGAGTTCCCAGACTCAGAGCGGCCCCTCACCGCTGCAACCTTCAAGGACTACATGTGTGAGCATTCCGAAACGGCGGTTTCCTTGAACGAGGAGTGCGAGAAATTCAAAGCCCTTTTGAAAGCAAGGAAGGAGCTGTGATTCCATCCCGAGTCTTGCTCATCATGTGCATTTTGATATGAAGAGAAACGTGCTAAGTAACATACTCGGTACTAGGTTTCATTCCGGTTATCAATTGTTTTCTAGCAACTAAGTAACAATGTTGTTGTTCAGCATTGGCACCCTGGCCATGAAGACATGTTGTCGGCGAGACACGTAGCCATGTCTGTAGTTTTGCTTCTGTTGCAGCAAATCCTTTGCTATAGATGCCACGGTTTTCGGGTTCACTAAGATGTTAATAACATAGAGGGTTTCACATTGGAGGTTCGGGGTGCCCGTTTGTGGATGTTCTAGAGGGGTATGGTTTATGACAGTTTATGATACCATTTTGGGATCGAAGGGTTTGCTCTGTGGCCCTGGCATTGGAGCTCTGCTGCGATAGTTTTCTTAGCATCCTCAGAAGCTGCCGGGCAGCCTGGGGTATAGAAGCCTCGAGTTCCGGGGGTGTGGTGTGTGCAACGTTTCATAGTGGCATAGCACGAGGCTTGTTATTTGCAGCTGATGTTCTCGCCCACAGGCCCTCTTGTCATATGAACAGCACAAACTGGAGTCCGAATTTCCGAGAACATCGTGTTGCGGGGGGTCCAAGTTTTGTGGGCTCTGTGAAACATGTGCCGCTTCACCTGGTTGCACCATTGGCAGCAAGATCCGAAAACAATGTATGCTGCTGGGTTGCTGCTCAGCAGTGTTATGTTGGTTGGGGTTTCTGAGCGCTCAGGGTTTCAGTGTGCATACATAAAAAATGTGGTTGAGGTTTTATTTGTGTTCCTAGAGTCAAAACCTCTGTCTATGCCCCCCCGGCCTGACAGTCCCAGCGAAACCCCGCTGGAGCCCAACACTTGATTCTAAGTAACATTGTGTCAGCATGCATAAAAATTGTTGTTGAGGTATGCTTCGTGCTCTTAGAGTCAAAACCTCTGTGTATGCCCCCGGCATGAAAGTCCCAATCAACATTTGCTGAAGCCCAACACTTTATTCTAAGTAACATTGTGTGTGCATGCATAAAAATTGTTGTTGAGGTATGCTTCGTGCTCGTAGAGTCAAAACCTGTGTGTATGCCCCCGGCATCAAAGTCCCAGTCAAAATTTGCTGAAGCCCAACACATAATTCTAAGTAACATTGTGAGCATGCATAAAAATTGTTGTTGAGGTATGCTTCGTGCTCTTAGAGTCAAAACCTCTGTGTATGCCCCCGGCATGAAAGTCCCAATCAACATTTGCTGAAGCCCAACACTTTATTCTAAGTAACATTGTGTGTGCATGCATAAAAATTGTTGTTGAGGTATGCTTCGTGCTCGTAGAGTCAAAACCTGTGTGTATGCCCCCGGCATCAAAGTCCCAGTCAAAATTTGCTGAAGCCCAACACATAATTCTAAGTAACATTGTGAGCATGCATAAAAATTGTTGTTGAGGTATGCTTCGTGCTCTTAGAGTCAAAACCTCTGTGTATGCCCCCGGCATGAAAGTCCCAATCAAAATTTGCTGAAGCCCAACACTTTATTCTAAGTAACATTGTGTGTGCATGCATAAAAATTGTTGTTGAGGTATGCTTCGTGCTCGTAGAGTCAAAACCTGTGTGTATGCCCCCGGCATCAAAGTCCCAGTCAAAATTTGCTGAAGCCCAACACATAATTCTAAGTAACATTGTGAGCATGCATAAAAATTGTTGTTGAGGTATGCTTCGTGTTCCTAAAGTGAAAACCTCTGTGTATGCCCCCGGCATGAAAGTCCCAGTCAAACCCCGCTGAAGCCCAACACATAATCTAAGTAACATGCTGTGCATGCATAAAACTTGTTGTTGAGGTTTGCTTGGTGTTGCTACTCACAAAACCTTTTAGTATGCCCCCGGCATCAGAGTCCCACTCAAACCCAGCTGAAGGTCAACTCAGAATTCTAAGTAACATTGTGTGCATACATTCGGTTGAGGTTTGCTCGGTGGTCCTAGTCACACAACCTTTTAGTATGCCCCCCGCATCAAAGTCCCAGTCTAAGCCCGCTGAAGCCCAACACACAATTCTGTGTGGTGCCTCAGAAAATGACCCATCGAGTTGTGTGTTGATGTCGATAATCACAAAACCTTTTTGTATGCCGTCGTCGCAGCTTCGCTTGTGGCAAGAGAATAGAACACTGCTGTCCCAATGTTACTTAGATGGCACACATGATTAAATATGTGCTGACACATGTTACTTAAAGTTGATCTATTATGCAACACATGTCACAGGAAAGATCTAGTGTTTGGATTATGGTGCCATACAGCTACTTAGAGCACATGCTACCTAATTTTGATTGATGCCATACCGCATGTTGCCTAGATTTCTTCGATGTCACATGTTACCTAAAGCATATGTTACCTAGATTTCTTCGATGCCAGATGTTACCTAAAGCACATGTTACCTAGATTTCCTTGATACCACATGCTACCTAGAGCACATGTTACCTAGGGCAGGCCATGAAAACAACATGCCATTATATATTTCTAAGCCACACGAAGTCTCGGTAGAATCTATGCGGTGCCGGAATGGAAGAGGAGCCCCCTCCAAAGCGGTTGAGGCGAGGTGGAGTGCAGCAGAGGCTCCAAAGAGTTGAAGCCAGAAATGATGCAGCTCCTGTTGCGAGCAATCTGGCACATGAGCTGTTGGAGCGATGGTCGTGGGGCGAAGTGAGCCCTCAGGTGGTCCAAAAGCTGGCAGCTGCCTCCCAAAGGGACTTTCAAGCTGTCGGAGCGACGCCGCCCAGCGAAATCGCTGCTTTAGCTGGCTTGGGATCTGCTGGTCTGTATCCGAATAATATGCACAAGGAGATTCTGAAAATCGCAAACAAGAACAATGCTTTTTCGAAGCCCTTCGCTGTCAAAATGAACCTCAGGGATACTTATAACCTTTTGTTTTTGTAGTTTGCTGGGTATAGTATCTCTAAGCCCTGAGAAAGAAATCCAAATTATAATTCCTGCCAGGGTTTCCCTATCTTCCAGCCAGGAGCTTCAAGCCACCCTGGGACAAACTGCTTCAGACGATGCTTCTTCCACATGTGGTATTTTCTGATCTCTACCACTCTTACCCAGCCGCCTTTGCAAAGTTCATGATGCCTTCTGGAGGTATTTCGAAACTTAAGGAATTCTGGCGCCTTCAGAAGGCGGGTCACCCCGCTTGGCGAAACCACCCGATCGTCAGCAAGAGGTCCTTCGATGCCGAGCATACCCTGCCTTTACAGCTACACGGGGACGGCACCCCTGTGGTGGGGATAGGGAAAATCTGGAGCAGGCAGCTGACCTCCTACACGTGGAACAGCCTGCTGGCGGAGGGGTGGACAAAGGACAGTATGATGCCATCGTGGTTTTGCTTCGATGAGACCGAGGCTGGAAGAGAAACGACAGATGAATTTTTCCGAATCATCTGTTGGTCGTTTGCCTGCCTTGCCAGTGGAGTCTGGCCAGCAGCCAACCACTTGGGTGCAAAGCAACTGTGCAAGTCCACTCATTCAAGCTTTTGCTGTCCGTTTTGGTTTCTGTCTATACACATTATATAACGTGTATCCTAAGTCTTCAAGGATTGAGGGGTGAAGCTCTGTGATAAATCTTGTTTGCAGATAGAATTCGTGGAATCAATTTTGGTTGCATTCCCAAGTTGCAGACCCTACTACCCCAGAACATGTGAAGGCAAAATAGGGCCCTTACATAGTTTCATTGACTTTTCTTTTCGGAGGTCACTCCTATTCTTTTAAAGACAAACAACCAGCAACGACTGTCGCCAGGCAGTCCTAAAGTCCCAGAGAAAAAACCTTCGAGGTATCCCGCCGGTACCGTGGAAGCCCGTCGAGCCGGGACGCCGCTGGCGAATGGACTGCGAGGCATCATCTGGAGTTTGAATGGCGATGCCGAATATTTGGTGCAAAAGCTGCAGTTGCCCCATTACGGATCGAAATCATCCCCATGTGCCCTTTGCAGGTGCAGAGGCGACAATTCCGATTCGAGCTGGCATGATTGCCGAACAAGTGCTCGGTGGCTCACGTTGGGATGGACAAGGGAATCATGGTTGGCATACCCGGAGCGATCATCGAGTGCCATCTTCTCCAATGCCACTGGTCTCACCCCATTGAACGTGCACTACGATTACATGCACTGCAAGTATTTGGGGGCAGACCAGATCAGCTTCGGGTCGGTCCTTGATTTGTTGGTGAGTCACCTCATGGCAGACTCACCACTAACAAATCTGGGACAATGCTGGGACAAAATCGTTACCTCGTACAAGAGACTGGGAATCTCCGAGAGGTATAGAGGCTTCCGCAAGCTGACAATGTTCCAGAGGAAAAAAAAATGCCCCAAGCTGAAAGGCAGGGCGGGCCAGATTGCTGCTTTTGGCGAGCCCCTGTTGGAACTTTGGGAGGAGCACATGCATCCTGATCTTGCTGTGCACTGCAAGATCAGGACGTACTTGCGACTGAACATCGCCATGGAGAAGATCATGAAGGAGTGCCGAGCCGAGACTGCTTTCCCGGAGCCCCAGGCGACCAACTTCATCGAATATGCCTTCGCTATGTGCAATCTTCATATGGAGTTGGGGGCACACTTCGAGGCCGAAGGCCTCAAGCTTTTCAGCCCTTTACCCAAGCTGCATCTGCTTTTGCACACGGTTTTGCTTTGCCGCCACATCAACCCGAGACTCACTTGGTGCTACAAAGGCGAGGACCTTCAAAAGGTCAGCAGGAGTTTGGCCGCCAGCTGTGCCCGAGGACTCAGAGGACCGGCGGTGACGGTGAAAATGGTGAGCAAGCTCAGGGCGGCTTGGAACCTGAGGCTGAGCAAAGTCTCTGCAGACTGAGAAGCTCGGGGCGCACCTGAGACTGAGCAGAGACCGAGTGTGAAAAAAATCTGCTGCTGCCGCCGCCAGTTCAGTTCAGGCAAGAAGGGAAGCAGCTGTCCCAGCACCATGAAACATGATCGCTACGTAACATTCTTTAAGTAACATGTGTGCTCTATAAGTAACATGTTCTGGTCTGACGACCAAGGAAAAAAGCTGTCTAAGTAGCATGTGGAACATGATCCCTAGGTAACATTCTCTAAGTAACATGTGCTCGTTTGGAAAAACAAGTTTGGCCTGCTCCTGCTTTTTCCCAAGCTTTTCAAGTTTTCCGCAACAAAATTTCAATGCCATCTGACAAATAACCTTCGGTTATTTTGGTAAATAGACTCGAATTTGCTAGGTTATTTAATCAAATAGACTATATCCTATTTTCTAAATAAACTATTTTCAAGGTTATTCAAAATAGGATAATAGTCAAAAGATAACCTACAAACCCCAAATAGGATAATAGTTAGGAAATAACCTAACCGAATCTAAGAGGTATTGTAGGTGCAAGCCTGTAGGATTAAGCCGCAAATTGAATACTGAGAGGACAGCCCGACCCCCCCTGAATGGGGGGCCTGGAGGGGATGGAATCAATGAAGCAGCCCAGTCGCCACCAAGCTGGCGCCGCTCGACGCGGCAGAGCATGCGTTCTCCACCCAAGTGCAGGATGTCACGTACCCACCCAGCAAGCGCGTGGCGAAGAAGAAATCCACAGCCTTTTGATCCAAACCTGCCGCGTCCAGGCTGGGATCGAGCAAGCTTCGCAAGCTCGCAGAATCTGCGCAAACATAGAGGACATTCCTTGGCATGACGTCATGCTGGAAGATGCTTTTATCGCGGATTTTGGTTAGAAAAGAGGTCCGGCCATGTATGGCGAAGAAGTACTCCTCGCTGATGTGCCGCAGCATTTGCTTCTTCAGTCGGACAGCCTTGTGCTTGTCATTTGCCAGCAACACCGCCCAGGTTCGGCCAGCAGGCAAGGGCTGCACTTGCTGGGACAGCTCACGTGCTTCCACTTCAGCCAGGACCGCCTCGTTCTTCAGGATGTTATCCTCGAACTCCTTCACCTTCTTAGCAGTTTCATTGTCGGCACCTTCAGGTCCACAGATGAAAAGCTGATGACGGTAGCGGCTGAGCTCCTTCATCGCAGCGAACAGATCCTTCTGCTTCGATGTTTGTCTCTCCTTGGCTTTGACCGATACAGCACAATAAAGGTCAAGGTCCCCCGTTTAATAATCAGACTTCCCAATCACCCAAGGGTCTATTGAGTATCACGGCCGGTACTTATCGAATCTAAGGTTGCAGACTAGGGAGATAGTCCGGCACAGAGCCAGCCGTTTCCGGCTTCCGAACCCCCTGTTCGCTTAGGGTCCTGCAGCTGTCCCAGCTCCCCGAGCCCTGTCTGTTCTCCGTCCTACCCAACCCAATTTATCCCCCACCCCCTTAGTGGCCGAATGGCTGTGGAAGACGACGCCGCTACCTCCTGCAGAGCTTCGACTCCCTCGACGTGGGAAGCCCCCATTTTCCTCTGCTTCGCGCGCCTTCGGCGAAACGCTGCCATGCCCGTGTCTCTCTGTCGACTGGCGGCCAGTCTCCGCGGCACAGAACTCGTTTTGCAGTTCCGTGCTTTTCCCCCAAAGATTGTCCGATACTTTGCCATGACGGTCAGGCAGAAGCGGCTGGCTTCGTAGGTGGGTGGCCCGCCTGCTACAGCCGGCCGACAAACTGCAATCCTGAGACTCGAGCGGGGCAAAAAGACACAGGAGCGGGGCAAAAAGACACTGATTTTACCATTCATTGGCATTGGAGCAGTGCTTCCGCCGAGGCACTCTTCGGCAGCAGGAGCATCCGTGTAGACTTTCATCATTTGGTCACGGTGCTCTTCAGTCACGGAAGCCTTCGTGCCTGTGGAAAAGATTTTCATTTGGTCACGGTGCTCTTCTCTCACGGAAGACTTCGCGCCTGTTGAAAAGGATCTCAAAATAGAGAAACTCGATTCCAGATCCCCCGTCGCATTCACGCAGCACATCAGGAACCGCACCTTGGCAGCAAACACAGCCCACGGTCATGACTCCCGACGAGTGCCTCTAACACACTCAGCTCCCCACGGCCTCGGACATAACAGGAAGCCGCTTCTGGGACCAGTGCCGCATGGCCGATGCCCAGTAATCGAGCTCACCGGTCCTGGAACCATTACCAACGCAACGGCGCATGTGTTTTCAAAGCCCTGTCAGTTCTGACTACTGACAAGACAGGCGCGGATCCTCAAGAAGTGCTCCGCCGTCGGTCGGGCGAGGAGGTACTCGCGTTGCAAATGACCAGGGTCGACGTGGATCGCGGACGCCAGGGGGCCCAAGCTTTCACCCCTGGAAAGAAGTATAGTTTTTAGAGGTTTAACAACAAAACCTCTAAAGCCTCAACCCTTAAATTCCCTAAATTCTGAACTCTGACCGTAAACCCTCTAAACCCTTATAATCTCCTCTCTCTGAAAACTTAAACAGGTCCCCCCGCCCCCCCACCCGCCCCCAAACAGAAACTCAAAGTGTTTTCTTATAATTGTGCTTTTATCCAAGGGTCGTGTTTTGGGTTCAGAACGTAGTGTATAAACTGAGAATAGGTTGGTTTGAGGGCTGGGCGAGCCCTCAACCCACCCCCTAAATCGGCATAGGCTATTAAATGCGGGTTGCATTCGGGAGGAATTTCGGCAGTGTGTGTTTATAATTTGGGGCTCGTTTATCAAAGGGCAAGGAGGTAACGCCGAATAAAGGAGCCGAGCTGCAATGACCTGTCTGTTCTGTGACGACACCAGAACTCGAGGTCAAACGGGGCAAATGCCGATCCAAGCACGACCTTGTGCCATACGCGAATCGACTCAAGGAACACTGCCGTGATGTTGTGGATGGAGCCCAAGTGCCGGCAGATCTCGCCCTCGAAGCTGTCCAGCTGCGAATCTGCGACAAGCACCGTGGCCACTCACATGCATGTCTGTGTTGCCTCCCGACCTGCCTGCAAAGTGAAGCAGAAGCCTGCCGCGGAAGAGGACGGCTTTCTCCGAGCCTGGAAAGGCTATGGAGCATATTGGTTGCACCCTAAACCCTAAACCCTAAATAAGAACTTCAACCTGCAACTGCGGACAAGGAACTGGCACACAACACCTTTTCCACGATGGCCACGAAGCCAGTGGTGTACTCCTGCGCTGCTACGGAACGTCTTGGCAGCACGGTTGTGCAAAAAAGGCAAAGGGGTTAGGCCGTTAGGCTAAGGCTTGAAGCCGAGCCTTGTTCAGAACCAGCGGCTTCTGTGATCGTCCATCCAAGGACTTGAAGAAGAACATCTCCGTCAGGGCCTGTACCCACTTCGAATGCGTCATAGAAACAACCGCTTGAGCGAGTATATACGCCTGGCCGCCTGGCCTGGTGCACGTCGCCGACCAATCGGTTCGCATGTGCAACAGTAGCAAACCCTGGCTTGCGATGCTGGGATTGTACCGATCCCTCGTCCTCAGCTAGCTTTGATTTGCGGCAGAAATGCATCAATGGATGCTGGCCACCGGAAAGCCTGAACCGACAGGACATGCCGACCCGACATGGCACCGCCAAGAATCGAACTTGTGGACGAATGTTCTGCACAGCGACAACCATTCCGCAAGTAAGGCGAGCAGTCTGAGGCTAGATGGAGTGAACACCTCACAATCACAATTTCAATTAACTCACCATGGCCATCCACAATCACACGGGCCCCTAATGTAGGTGCCTTAATAATTTCAATGTGGTTTTGGGGCCCATTGTACTATAATTCTAGTAAGGAACCCCTGCAATACTATTCGTAATTATTTCGGCTTCTACATTCATGCTGCAGTCTGGGAACTGTGCTCAGAAGCTGCGTCGCCCAGCCGGCCTGATCGCATTGGGTGGCTGCCAGCTCGATGAGCAGCTGGATAGTCGCGTCCAAGTTTGTGAGAAGCTTCTCCAGATCTCGTAGATGCTGTCAAAGCGCTGGGCAGCGAAGTGCGGGGCCTCGGAAGCTTTGCCCATGAGCTCGTCGATGCTGTTGAAGGCCGCAGTGTGGCGCTTGAATTTTCCAGCAAGTTTCGAAGAACTCGCCAGCGCCCTAGCGAGAGATCCCGGCTGCTTGTTGTCGCCCGGCTTGGAATATTTCAGCACCACCTCATTGAGAAGATGTTCACATCGAGGATCCGATTTCACAGCCGACTCCATCGCCCTTTGGGCCGAGTGCATACAGCACCGAGTGGTGGCCTGAAGGTTCGGAAGCACTTCCTTCACTTTGGCCACCCTTCCTGCCCAAGACTCGGCTTTTTCGCCGTCGGCAGCGAAGACCTCATCGACAGTCAACGCGCAGGCGAGCAGAACTAGCCGAGAAAACTCGCAAGCTGCCCTGCCTTCACAACCTTTTGCAGCTTTGCTCTGTCAGCTTCCTCTGGGCAGAAACGCTGCAAGGCTTCCTGGATCTGCCCGACTTTGTCCAGCGTAGTCTGTCATTGGCACATCAACTTGCAAAGCAAAGAATGACAGGACTCGCCAACGACACAACCTGACAGGAACTGCCTTCTTGCCACACACGCTGCGATACTCCAGGCATCGAACATGCTGTCTGAACGTTTTGTCCACAAGCACAATTCGCATGCCAAGGTAATCCTTGCTGACGTCCTGCAAAGCAGTACATGTCGCAGTGGCGACACAATGCATGCTACCGGGTTTATATCTAATTCAGGATGGCGGTGCGGCCACCTCGGAGATAGCTGCGGCGACCACGTTTCTCATCAGGCTCCGGTCTTCGTCCCTCAAGACACTCGCCGCCGCTGCCATGATGCGACTGAACTCCGTGCCGTTGCTTCTGGCCAAGGGAAAGTTTCTGGAGTCCGCCCTGCCGGCCAACTCGGCCTTGGCCTGGTATTCGACGGTTTGGCCAGAACGAGCTCTGCGAAGACATTCGACCGCCAACCGGATTTGTGCTGCCGTGGGCGTTCCTTGATCGGGAACGCCCATGCCAGATGAGTCGGCTGCCGCCGCTGCATGCGGTCCTCGTCTCAAGGCCTCGATGTGCATCTCGCTCTGCGCGTGTCTCTTGAGATCCTCTATCTGGAGGAGATCTGACATTCGACAGCCCTTGGCTGAATCAAGAAAACTGAAAACTTCCCTTGTTGCTGACTTGAATCAATGATCGGCGCATGCATTGTGCGATCAAGCAGCTCCCTCCATGTGGGCCCCTTTTGTGCCCCTCAGGTATGGAGATGTGCTGCTATCTGGGTCCGAGGACGCACCCCGGCACAGGCTGCATTGCAGCCCCCAGGGTTTGCAGGCGCTGGCCTCTTCCACCCAAGATCCTGTAGTGCCGTCGGGCCTGAGTGCGGTGCATCATGACCATGCCAGCTGCTTCGCACTTTCACTCGCACGAGGCGGTCCTGCTGTACGTGAGCACCCTCGCCCATTTCCATCGCAGCTTTATCCATTTACATCGATTGCATCTTTTCACGGCTTCTTTCGCCTTATTCAAAGTTGCATGAGCTGAACAGTTGGCATGAACAACAACACCGAACAACAACAATCGCCAGGCCCCGGCAGAGCCATGTCGTCTGATGCAAGCAGCACAGTGCTGACCTGCAGCGGACAGAGTCACAACTCAAACTACACCGGGGCCGTAAAGCCCTCTGCATCAAACGAGCCCAACCTTCAGGACTTCTTGGGCGTGGTGACGGCATGGTGCACAAAGACACTACTGCCCTAGCAGAGCCACCTACCTATCCTCAAGCCTATGTAAATGACCCTTAACATGGTTATCGTTTTATTTTACTCTTACCGTTTTACAGGACTTAGGGTCTGTATGATCTACATCATGCGCTATTTGCTACTCTTATCGTTGACATGACTTTGGGAAAACATCTCGGTTATCGTTCTTTTTTACTCCTATCGTTTTACAAGCGATAAGCATCATTCTCCGCTCTAAAACGCTTTTATCTAAAAACTGATAGCGGTGGTTTTATCAGTCAAAAAAATCCAGTTTAGAATTGAACTAACTCAACAACCTGTGTAATATTCTCGAGTTCGGACTTGTGACACCCCGGACATCCCCCCCCTCTCCGCAAGCTCTGCGAAAAGGGCTGCTGTGACAACGCAGCGCACACGTAGACATGCAAACATGCCTCATCCAATCGGGCAAGAGAAGGCACAGCCAAATTTCAACATGCCCGGCTGGCCAGCTCAGCGGCGAGCAGGGAACCTGTCTCGAAGACACTAAATTAAAAAAAGCAAAGCTTTGAAACCTTCAGGAATCTGCTGCAACAGAAAGCCCAGCCTGTCCCACTTGAGTCCTGACACCGGCGCTGGAAGCGCAGCCTCAGCGCAACATCTCACCGGGGCCGGAGTGCAAGGGCCAGTAGCTGGGTACATCCATGCGATCTCCTCTTTTACCACTCTTCATATTCACAGATCCGTCCTTGGCCCGCCTCTCCACTATGAATGATCGGGCTGTCGCCCAGACATTCACTTCACATAGCAGGGTTCTGTTCGCCTTGACTCGAAATGATGCCCTCACTGGCACTGGCGGAGCATCCACGGTGCGCTGCACAGCACTTGTCGCATGAAAGCAAACTGCGATTAAACGGCGTCAACCAATCGTGGATCTCTTGAATGACCTCTGCCTGATCTGCCGTTTGCGCCTCCAACTCGAGGATCCGGTTCTGCAAACACATGTTCTGATCACGAAGAGCAACCACCTGCTCGTCCTCCTCCTTCTTGACCTTATGGTTGTCCGCCTCGTCGCCTGAGGGTTTAGGACAGAGTAATAAGAACCTCACCCCCCACTCTCCCGACTTCTCCGTCACGAGCCCTGTCCTGCACATTGCTTAGACTTCTTCTTCGCCCGGTTGGATTCATAGACTTTTTGAAGGAATTTACGTCTGTCATCTGACGACGCCGCATCCTTTGGCACCTTCTCATCGTATCGGGACAATGACTTCCTCTTCCTGGAAACAAACCAACACCTAACACAACAGTGACCAAACAACATGTTCGGAGATGTGTCCTGGAACTCGCCGCTGAGTCCACAGCCACCACGGTCGCCGGCTCCATGCTAACAAAAACACTTATATTATGAAACGAGCCTCTGTCTGCCACGGACGATAGAATTTCTCGGAAACCCTGTTGAAGCCACCCGGGGACACTCGCACTGGAACCCTGAACCCTAAAACCTCGAGCAGATGGTCTTGTCGAAAGTGCACAACTCCGCAGCTATTATTCTTTGCCGATATATGAAATGCGTCTGCGGGTGCCTTCTGTGTGCACGTACACTAGAGGTGATGGAACCGAGTAAAAGCACAACAAGGACTCACTAGATCCACTTATCAAGCTGTCCAAAAGTTGATCTGGGCTCTTTCCGATATCACTGGTTAGGTATAGATATCAAGCAGTCTTATTCGTGTCAGGACCTAAACGTATACACATTTCAGCGTATGAATAAGTTGACATGGGCCTATGCATCCGCCGCCAGCACCCAGCATTCACTGTTCCATTATAACCACCTGAAAAGTGTCTCGGATTTCGTCCTGCACCCGAATGAAAATCAAACATATTTACTACAGTTATAACAATTGAAAGAACTAGTGTATATAAACCCTTGTCAAACCTTAGGCGTTGTTGCTCCAAGCCCAAATCGACTTTTCGGTGCCTCGAAAAGTTGATCTGTGCATTACCATCAAAAAGGCAGCACGAATTCACTTTTCAGTGCATCAAAAAGTGAATTTGGAGCTTACCGCTTGTCAATGGGTGATCAAGCGCAGCAACTGCAACGGCTGTGCTAGATTGACTTTTCTATCCATCAAAAAGTTGATTTAAGCTGTCTGCTGCAATGATCCGAAGCAGGTATTAAACCTGTAAAGCATGATTCGACCTTCTCAACCTTAAACTAACACACTGCGTTAGTTTGTGTACACATACATTTTTGTGGATCAAGAATTATGCATATAGACAAATAACAAGGACAATGTATATATATATATATATATATATTTGTATCTGTGTGTGTGTTTATTTTTTACAATACAGATACATTTCACCCGGCGCCGGGTAGCCGGCGCCGGGTGCCCGGCGCCGGGTGCCCGGCGCCGGGCAGCCGGCGCCGGATGACACACATATATTAAGGTATGTATATGTTTGTATTTGTTAACAAAGAGACACAAAGAAATATAAAGATACCAAATAGGCAGCAATGTTTTTCTTTAGGGTTGATCTTAAATCAATCTTTGTGTAAAGGGTTTAGGTTGTGTGTGCTTCGAAGCATTGCAGGAGAACAACTTAGATCAACTTTTTGGTGGATAGAAAAGTCGATCTAGCACAGCCGTTGCAGTTGCTGCGCCCGATCACTCGTTGACAACCAGTAAGGTCTAGATCCACTTTTTGATGCACTGAAAAGTGAATTCAAGCTTGCCGTCGCTGCGTCTGCCAATGACCTTCCCCGCGAAAACCTTGGTCGTGCTTTGCGGGCGAAAAGAGTAAATGAAAGAGTGAACGATGCTGGCGTCACGTACAGTCATAGTAGAATGAATTGTTCTCTGCATCTTGCCACAGGCTATCGGGCCTCGTTCTGGTCCTCTGCCCCGCCCTGCCCTCTCTTGACAAGACCAGATCCACTTGTCCATCTATCAAAAAAGTCCCTGGCCCCAACTCCATTTTGCACACCCCCTGTGCACGATCAGACGAATGTGTTCATCATGTCTGGGGATGTGTGTGTGTGTGTGTTTCTGTGTCCGTGTATGCATCTAGCTCTTGAACTTCTTTGGCATGCCAGTTGCTTGTCCACCCATCCACAGACAAAAAAACAACACCCTCAGCTTCAGCCATTTAGGCTTGTGGCCAAACAAGGCGAGATAGTGGTAGCCAGCCGACGCACACGCTCAAAATCACGGGCTGTTGCCTCCTTTCCACCACGGCTCTCCACCACTTGCTGCACGGATGCTGCAAACTCTTCTGCAACAGCCTGCATGGAAAGAAGCGCACATGCCGTGAGGTTCTTCAAATCTCCTACCTCGGCAGCAGCATGGAGAATGTCGATGGCAGAGGGGTGCAGCTTGCTGGTGGGGAACTGCTCCGAGGTGCACAGATCTGCTAACCTGGGATCATTGCCATTCAAAGCTTGGGGACCCCTGCGCCGACATGGACAATTCAAACAACTGCCGTGAGTGCAGGCCAACTAGCATCTTGTTGCAAACTTTCAGGAAATGCAATCGGGGAATCATACGCCTGGAGTTGTGCTTCTGCAAGTGCTGAATCTCGGCATTTGCCCTCTTCTTGTACTTCGTGCCCTTCCGAGGCCCAGGTTTGCAAGGTCGTGCCTCATGAAGTCATGAATGAAATCTGCAGGACCCGAGCGAGTGTGGTCTAGACTAGCAGCAACATGCGGGCAGGATGCCAAACCCACAGTTGTCTTCTTCCGGAGACGCACGCTTGGCATCTTAGCATATGCAATGCCAGGGTTGCGGGCCAGGGCTTGGCTGCAAGTCGTTGTGGCCCAGGCCTGATGCGCCGCAGACTTGACCACTCGTGCCTGCGAGAGAACAGCAAGGGTGAGAATAACAGGAATAGTACTTAGTACCATGCTCGACAGCCTCCTTCGGCAGGTTGAGGGGACGTCGTCTTAATGCCGAGCCCAGAGGTGCCTGGCCGCTATTCTACTAAGGTCCTTGCTATAAGGCGAGGACTGGGCGAGGGCAGTCCTTGACGAGCTTCTTCGACACATTCGAAGAAAGTCCACGCTGACAAGAAGGGCCAGACACAACCTTCAGGGTCAGCCTAAGAGACTAAGTCAAGACTTCCCCAAAAGAAGCCTTCAGGGTCAATCTCGCGTGGATACTTATCATATAATAAAAAGTAGGAAGACAACAATCAATCTGCCTTGGCGTGGACGATCGCTCGCACCATGACCACGGAAGCAAGAAAACCCCAAAATCGGGCCAAAGCTGCGGCGCAGCGCACTAGACCTGTGGATCCCCTGGCCCTACCCTAACAACTGTTGGGTTCGGATAAGCTGCTGAAAGCATGAGGCTGGGCACATTCATTCCAAGCCAGCAAGGTCGACGCAACTGCCAGGGCATGCTTGGCTCTCG